ACACGGGCAATGAGGAAATACGTGTTTTTTTTTTTTTATCCTGCTCGGCCAGAAGCCACTGTTATGCCAGAACAGTATATGCTATCAGTATATGCGCAACAGAGTTTTATTCCCACATTGGACAGCACGAGCCAACTAGAGCCATTCCATCAGATCAGTTAAGTAGAACCAAAGCTGGAAGATCCAGGATCTCTTCCACAATTTCAGCAACACCAGGAGGATGTGGCACGGCAAACGGACTATTACAGACTACAACACACTCTCACCCCAGTGGGTGCAGTTGATGCTGAACTTCCTAAATGAACTAAACAACTTCTTAGGTTGGAGGCACTAAACAGCACTCCAGCAATGAAGTTCAGTGAAAGGGTGGAGTCGGAGTAAAAAAAAAATATGCACACACGTTGGAGGGGATTCTGCTGGGAGTTGCAGGGAAGTGGGCTGCAATTTGGATGGCATTTGACTGGGAAAGGGCCATTTTAAATAGCTGCAATTGTATACAAAATGACTATAAATGTTGTCTAAGTCTAAGTCATTGACTTTTAGCAGCAGTGTACCAACCAGCACAAACACTTTTAACTTTGAAAAAAGAAAATTAGCTTAGATGATACAGCTTTTTCTTGGCTGTAGAAACGGCCAGACATGATTGAAGTGTCCGGGATGTTGAGATAAGTCTCTGTAGCTAAAACCATATTAGTCAATATTAATTTAAAATAAGTTACTAGTAGTAAAAAAACTTTTTGGGGGGGAATTTAAATGTGGTAACATTTTGTTTTCATGTTTAAAATTATAGAAAACATTGGCTGTGGTTCATATTTTGACTAAGAATTAATTTAGGTTATATGAAAACTAATCATATGCCGATCTGACAGCAGATGCGGTTATGACAGAACAGCGCTCACACTGACTGACAGAGCTGGAATGTCTGGAACTTTTGAGAGCTCCATTACCATGTGTTGGCTAGTTTAAAGAGAATCAGAACTAATCAGGAGTGATAAAAATGACACAAACAAACAACCTCATGGGTGCTTTATTTTCTGTACCATTACCTGGCTTAGAACCTTCATCCACAGATCCATTGTAAACCTGGTTTCTGAACTCGGGTCTGTTGTCGTTCATGTCAATAACAAATATGTAGAGATCAATAGGGTTCTCCACCTGGTTCCCATTCATGTCCACAGCATGGGCTCGCAGCTGTGAGAAAGTGACAGGAAAAAAGATTCCAGATTATTGCCCAACACTCAACAGGTTTATATGCAATCTAAATTGGCTCCTACTTGAGCAATTAACTACACAAAATATTTTTTTGGTAAAAATACAAGAAAATATACAAATCAACAAAAAAACATGAAAACTAATCAAAAATTAACTTTTTTGGAATGACTATGACCTGGATGACTGAGAATCTTTTTAATAGCGTAATCAACAGGAGTTTATCAGGTTCCTTTGTAATAAATAATGAAACAACGCTACTCAGCTGATTCCTATGAGAGATTATCTGAATGATCTCTAAAATTAGATAACTAAACACCTCAGAAATATTAGTATCATACCGGTACTCAGTTTTTGAGCTAGATAATTCATAGTTCAGTACCGTTGACATTCTTTTGGTTTTATTTCTTAAAATAAATATAATAACTTTTGTTTTGCAGGGATTTATGATAAAGACATAAACAATATCGTGCAAAACTATTACCTGAAAGAAGAATATTGGGTTAAAAAAAGAAGCAAAACCAAAAACAAAATAAAAGCAGCGTCCTTCAGAAGTCATTTATTTTGGAAAAAATGTTCTATTCAATTTCAGTATAAATACAACTGATCTCTAAAATTATATGAGTTTGCTAAAAAAGAAAAATGACAATCCACACAGGTCAGGGATACAGCTAAGGAGAACTTATTAAAGCATCTCCTGGTGCACTGTTTGACCAATCATTCAGTAGTGTTGCCATGAAGAATATGTTTGGTTAACAAAGCCATTATCACATTTCAAGATTATTCAATTATTCTAAAATTTCATTTTTAACAAAAAGCTGTCAAATATTTTGCATTGATTATATTACGTGTCTGATCTTAAAGATTCTTAATAAGTCTGCTAAAACAAAACTTTAAAAAAAATAGACTAGACAACAAGTTCAGAATATTCTTTTTTGCAAAGAAATTGCCTTTTTTTCTCCTGACATCATATTTTATCACACTTAGTCTGCAGAATTTATTTTTCTCAGCATGAACCAAACAGAAAAGATCTTATTTCATGGAAGGCTGGCTCAATTGTAAAAGTGAGGTTTCACTTTCAGAATGACTGCATTAAAACCCATGGCCAGCGCTCTGTCTGGTTTTGTTCAAAGTCAGTCCAGAAATATCTGCCCACTTCCCTTTGAATCTATATAACAATAAGAACATATAACCGGTACATCTTACTGGAAGTTAAAGATAAAAATTTATCATTTCAAAAATTCTAAGAGCAAATGTTTGTTATATCCTCTGCAAAAAAGCAAATGTTAGAAATAAAAAACAGCTGTGACATTTTAAAATAAAGCCCTTGATTCTCTCAAAACCTGTTTGCTTTGTCTGGGAATGTTTATGTCCCTGAACATGACTTATTCAGTGACTTTGTCAGCATGTAACACCTGGGATATTTACCTAGATCGCAGAAGTAAAATGGAAAAAAAACAATAAATTCTGCTCCTACAGCATAGCGTGGTATATATTTATTCGTTGAAAAAAAAATCTCATTCACCCCTCAAACCAAGGTTCTATCTCTGAATTCATTGCAACGCATATGCATTAAAAGAATTGAAAAGGGACAGTTAATTGGTATTTATATAAATAAACAGGTAATGAAAGTCATGGAGCAAAAGAATATATTATTGCTATATATACAGCTTAAAAGTAAAATGTGATGTAGCTATGGAAAACCATCTGAAACTCTATACATTTTTCATGCTACATATCACTATATTGTAATAAATGTTTAACCTGGTTGTCTTTGGGGTAGTTCTGTAGCAGATTTGAATATATGAAGAGTCAGATGTTTGTTTCTATTTTGTAAATTGCTTATATCTGGTCTGATTCTACAGTGAAGTATTTGATTATAAGGCAATATTCAAAAATGTTTAAGGGGTATAAATATTTTTCCAAGGCAGTAGAAGAACCATTTCCCACTTTGCTTTTTTTCTTCACAGAAAGGTGCAAATTTAAACCACGGCAGCTCATTCTCTCCCCCTTCCTTCACCACACTTTAAAGTTTCAGCAAAATGACATCTGCAGGACACCCTGAGGTGAAATGTAACTTTATTCTTTCCACTACTTTGTCTGATCCTTCCTGAACTCAATATCCACAGCTATATAGCAGGCCAGAAGCCAGACTCCTTATCTAAACCCACCGTCATCCCTATGTCGCACACAAACCCACAACCTAATTCAATCACAGCAGGAGTCAGAGATTACTGCCTTGTTTAAAGAAGGCAGAACTTATTATTGAGTCCAAGTCATAGTTATTATCTTTAAAAGGCATGGACAGGGTTGGGACTGTACCAGCAAATACTCCTCATTTGGCATCAGATTCATTATGCAGATAGAAGAAAACTGAGAAGCTTCAACAGTCTCTTTTCTCCTCATAAGAATGCATCGTGTTGCTTGGCTGGATTTGAATTCAAAAGCGCTCATTCTTCTAAAATAAAAAGAACTAGAGCATAACTTGGCTCCATCCTTGCATGAAATATCAATTGAAAAAAAAAAGACAAACTAAATTGGTCCTGTGGTTTCCGAAGAAAGATGTAATGAATTTATGTGAACAGCTTCTTATTTAAGCTTCTAGAATAAACATTAACATTTAATTTTCATTCAGTTCAGTTAGATGTTTTGAAAAAAAATATATAATCAATGCTAAAGGCAACTTAATCAGAGGGAGAGAGATTTTAACAGTCTGAGAGTGGATACTAAGAGAAAAGAGTGAGCAGAAATATCCGTGCAAAGCTATAAAGATAAGGGGAGTAAACTGAGGATACTTTCAGCACACGTCTATTCCTGGTTTTCAGACTACTCTCTTACCTTGAGGCTATCAATGTTTTGGTGTCCTAGAGGGATACCTCCCTTAAAAAGTTAAGTTTAATTCACACGGTATGCTGTCCTAACGCTGGTGAAGATTCTCAGTCATCCAGGTCATAGTCATTCCAAAAAAAGTCAAAAAACAATCCACTGGACTGTGTTTCCAAGTTTCAACATGTTTCGCTTCTCATCCAGGAAGCTTTTTTAATTCATAAATAAATTGAATAGCTACAAGAAGTGAAAGAATAAACAGGGACTGATAGTTGATGTAAGATTATTAATTTACAATGCAGTGTTCTCTAGGAGATACCCTAGTCCTGGCATAATGGATTTAAGTGTAAGTTGATGTTCTCAAATATATTTGCTGTATTATGCAGTAGGACAACCCAAAAAAGTTGAAAAAGAAACTAATAGACTTTGTTTCCAAGGTTGAAGATGTTTCGTTTCCCATCCAAGAAGCTTTTTCTGCTCAAATGTCAAAAATAGCATTGAGTTGCTTTATACAGTAGCCGAAAAAGGCCTTATTTTAGCTTAGACAACATGCAAATACAATAATACAATTCAAGACAATACAAGAACACTGCATTGTAAATCAATAATCTGACATCAGCTATCAGTCCCTGTTTATGCTTTTACTTCTTGTAGCTATAAAATTTATGAGCTCCTACAGTCAGTAGCATTCCTTGAGTTAATGGTGACCTGTCAAGGACCTAGTTCTGAACTCTAGCCGGCCTATTCCCTTTGCTGTACCTCTCATCAGTAAAAACATGCACACACATGCCAACAGCAAAGCCCATGCTGCAAAAAAGACAAAAAAAAACATGAACATATTACAGTAAATAGGCACCAGTCTTAACAATTTAGTTGTTAAACATGTCATGTGCTTTTTAAAAGGAATTAAGGTAAACAAATTTTGTTTATAAAATAGGTTTCAAAGATCAGCACATTTAATCTCATGAAGCTCTATTGTACAAAACAAAAAATAATGAAAATGCTTGATCTGTGTTATATTAAAAAAACAGAATAACTTTGTCATGTGCATTTATTTAAGCATTTGAGTTTTGAATTTAGTTTGGTCACCTTAGCCAGGCTCCTTAAAAAAAGACAGAAAACAGCACAAACTAGGGTTTGCCTTGTAAATTTAGAACAAAATCAAATGGTGCTCAAATGTCCAAATTTTATTAGTCTCTATGCAAAGCAATAGCTTCTTACAGTGCTGACAATAAACAAAATGCTGAGAAGCATGTAATCCCTATTTACTGGACATACAACATTTGAAACCACCCTCCAAACCATGATGCATTAAGCGATAAGCTGCCTTTTTTTGAAATGGCTACTCAGAAAGTGCCGTTGAATCTGCAGTATGAGATATATGAGAAAATCTTCTAAAAGACCTCTATAAGAAGATACAAATTTAATGCAAGTGTCAGAGACATCAGACTTACATGATAAGAAGATCGATGCTCTCGATCCAGAGGTTTGGTGACAAACATCTTTCCAAGCACAGGGTCAATACTGAACACCTCGTTGGGCGGTTGATCTGCTCCCACTCCAGTGATGCTGTATCGAATTGAGATGTCCTGATCCTGGTCTGAACGAATCTTAATGAGAAAAACAATGAAAAAGTCAGTAAAATAGTTTTTTGATGCATCTCTGTATGTATAAAAACTTCTAAACATGTTTCTGTCAATTTCTCAACTCTGCCTATGAAACTAAACAAAAAGAATGAAAGCAATGTCCAGAAATTAGTTCCATAATATGTCTCGTAGCATCCTTGCTATTCAACCAAAACACATAGCTGAGTTTCTTAACTCTTCCCTAAAGTTTTACCCTACACATATTTTGTTATTATCCTTACTGGATTATCCTACTTTAAAGGTATAGTGAAGGATTTTCGCTAATTTTTGAAAAGACCTGCCCTCTTCACATAAAAAAGAAATGTACACCCACAACCCTCATACAAGCTTACTTTCCAAAAGAAGATTTGCCTTAAGTAAACATATCACCAGAATGACTGACAATTAGAAGGACCACTTATTTTGATGATCCAACTAGAAAAAGAACACCCTCCACTATACCTTTAAATCAAAAGGGACTTCCCTTACCTTTCCCACAATGTCTGTCTCTCTGTTGGTTCATGCTACATAAACAATTTGAATACAGACAAACGTTTTTAAGATTCACATTCGATAACTGCAAACAAGGATGGCTGTGTTAATAAGTCTGGTACAGCAATAGGTGCAAAACTTTGAGGACGCTGTGACCGAAATGTACAAATTGAGAAAATTACCACATGAACTTATAATTTTCATAGGGAAAAAGAGTAAAGTAACATTCAAGTCAAGAAGAGCACAGAAAAAGAAAATTATTTAATAAATATCATAGGAAACTTTTTTTAAAAATAGGCTTGTACAATTCTCCAGCTTTCCTTTCCAGATAGGCAGCTAATAGGTGCATTAAGTGCACTGTAATGCCTTATGATTTGAACTGGAGTACTGTGTAATTGGGAGTCATTTGGAGCAGTTATTTAATTTAATACCTATATAGAGTCCCAACCTCTGAGCATCCTATTTCTGTCCATTAACAGTCTGACAACTCGTGAAATCAGTCGGTGTATCAAAATATCTCAATCATACAATTAAATCTAGAATAGAGGCACATATTGTACCGACATATATATCCTAACATGCACATACACACAAAAATAACCTGGCTTTTTCCTTCTAATCAACGAGCAAAGAGTGCAAGAAGAGTAAGATTGTCCAAAGCTGTCTCTATCTTTTACCACTCAGGGAACCAATTTAGCCACACTTTTGACACACTAGGAATTCCAACCCGCTGAGAAAATAGCTGAAGCAAATAACAAGGACAGGGGAAGGACATAAAGTATTAGGCAGGTGTCGTCTGGGCTCCCATAACTGCAGGAGTAAAAGCCTGTCACCATTGCTGAAAAGGGTGGTTATAACTATTTCCCTCCCAGTTCCCCCTTTTCGGCATTGAAAAGATCATTAGCGCTCAATTTCCTTAACAGAACTGAGGTATGTCATTGAGATCAAAGAAACATAATCGTTCACGCTCAGCTTCTTTTTAAGTCTTTGAGAGGATATATCAGCAGATCTGCTTTTGTGTCTGCATGCAAGAGTGTTTTCCGAGGGCAGTGAACATATCTTCGTGAATTAGAGCTGACAGTTCTGACAAATAATGAGTTGCAAGCATTGACCGCTAGTACTTCAAAGTATACCCATTAAACACTAACAGAAATTAATTTCCAGTTAACAACTCAGTGGAACTCTAAGTGTGGCATCTATGAAATTAAATATAATGCCACTTTCACCAGTAATTTGGAATTGGAAAATGTAAGCAGTGAGGAAACTCTTACTATTGCCTTACAAGGCCGGCTCTCTTCTCTTTTATCATCTCAGCTTTTCTCTGCTGTAACTTCTGTAGTTTCCTGAATTTCACTCCTACATTTTATACCCGGAACTCTTCTTCTTTGTGTCCTGCTAACACACCCTCTGGTCTATGTGGTATAAATCCTCACCAGTTAGAAAGTTATCATAATTCCATTTTAATTTTTAAAGCCCTGCTTATTTCCCACCTACTTTAAATTTGTGCTGCTTGGCAGTGGCAGCTGGCAAATAGAGAATAAAAATTAAATTATACAATTAAAATATTTTCAAATATATAAATATATATTTTTTAGATGTACAAGATAAATATTTAACCTTTAATGATGAGTAAAGCGTCATTTCATTTTTCCTCGGATTGGTGATGTATTTACACCCTGGGGTGTAAAAAAGTGCATGTGCACATGTGCAGCAGCTCCTCTGCAATACAAAGGTAGAGTGGGTGCAGTAGAGCTGTGCCCTGAGGTTGCATGAACTGTTGTCACAGTTGTTGTGCGGGCGATTGACAGGCCGAGTTGCGGGAGGGAAGCAAACTTACCAAGAGAAGCTGGAGGTGAAACCATTTGGACCTGATCAGCCACACATCAAAATTAATCAGCAGTCCAAAAGACAGATGGAGATGGTACACTCTGTCTTTTTCCAGGACCTGGTGTAGCTACAAGGCTTGGCTAATTGCATGCAGTGTGCTAACGCTTTATTCTGCTGCCTTGACTGCGTGCCTCCTTTTTTAAAGGTCAGGATCTGACAAAGCATGGATAAAGACAGGTAGGACTGATTTAAATCACTTTTTAGAAAAGGCAAAGAAGCATGAATAATCTGGGATTCACGTGGAAAATAATATATACTGTATTTTTCTAGGTGTTTGTTAATTTGCATAGTTGCTCTTAAATAAACACATTCTCAGAAAATAAATAGTTTTTATATATTGAAAAAATCTAAAGCTGACTAATAGCTTCTCCATTATTAAACTGGTATACATATTTTTTATTTTAGGTTTGTGACACCATATTGGACCATGCAAAACATAGATTTGCCTTCACAAAGCCTCAGAAGGGCAAGATTTAATACAAAAAGTAAACCTGTACATAAAATTATGTTTTGTTTTTATAAAGTGTTTTTATAATGTTTTTGTTGATGGCATGCATATGAATATAATAGTGTGATAATGTTTGATTGGTTTTTGGTATACATCTTTTGAATCATTCCCACCCTGGGGAAAAACTCCCCCAGCCGCCACTGCTGCTTGGGAATTGATATATTTACAGTTACAGGAGAGGGGTTTGGACGTTGATGACCAATGTCCAGGCTGGTTTTCTTAAAACATTGATGATGACAGATTTGCACTGCTGTACTATTCTTTCCAACTGCTACAAAACACCCTCTCACAGGACCAACACAAGACACTCCTACAAGGACCTGCAATCCTGCCCCCTACCATCCTTGGGGTCAAAGCAGCTGCTTCATGTTTGTCTCATTCTCCTCTGTGGCTGCTACCAATTCAGCAACATTAAAGAGACCCCATGAATGGAAGGCCATGCAGGCCACAGCAGTCAGAACCTTCTGACTCCCTAAGATAAATGGGCCTGTTAGCAATTTTAAAACCAGACTCTGCAAAACATTGTCCTCAATTCTGCAACATCTCAAAGTTTAGACAACTTTGAGATGCCAGAGCCTGAAGGCTTTCATCATAGAGAAAAGGAACCTAACTCGCCACTGCAGCCCGCAAAACCCACACAAACCCAAAATCGGCAAACAAATCACCAACCAAAAAAGAAAAAAAAGAAAAGAAACACGGCCGGCAAAACTAAAAAAACAAACAAAAAAAAAACAAAATAGAGCTAGAAAAATCTATCATCAAGTAAGGGTATTACTCCTGCATAACACAAGCGAACAAAAAAAGAAGAGGGAATAAAAGGAACACTGTCCAAACAAATAATAAGCTAAAAAAAAGAAAGACGAAACTATATCAAAATCACAAATAAACACTAATATAACAACAAACATTACGGAACGACTTAAATCAAAGGCAAATTATAAAAATTTGACAAAATAGAACAAAAGACTACTAGCAATAACTCCAATGATATCAAAAAAAAAAAGAAAATGGAACTCAGATGAACCAAAGAATGAAATAAAACATTGCCCAAAAAAATAAAAATGGATGAGCCCATTAGACGGTAACAACCAAGTCATTATAAGCCTATTACGCATCGTTACAAAAACCAGAAAAACAATTTAAGGTCAAGCAACATATAGTGAGAAGCCAAAATGTGGAGAAAATTCATGCACATGAGACAACAGGTAACGATAACACCATAAAACCTAGAATCAACCTAGCAACACAAAAAAGATACGAATAAAAAACAAACAAACCACCCACAACTAGGGAGAACATGAAAAATAAACTCATTGCAAATTAAAGGATACCGATCCAGAACATAAAAAAAACCACAGAAATAGAAAATAACAAGAAAAACCGAAAAAAAACAAAACACGAAGCAATAAAAATATATTCAATGAAAATAAAGCCAAAATGCAAGCTCAAAAATATATACCATATCAGAGAAAAAAAAACTTAACGCAAAAAAAAAGATAAAAATCAAAAGAACTTAAAATTCGTACACGCACAAATAAAGAAGGAAAAAAAGCAAACGCAAAATAAAAAATAACAAAACCACAAGGAGCTCCCCAATACAAAATTGAATACAGCTAAACAAACAATGAAAGACTTGGGTAAATGACCAAAAATAATAAAACATGATCAACAAACAGACATTAAAAAAAGACAAGGCTACAAAAAGATAAAAAACAAAAATAAAGAAGTACACAAAAAACAAAAACGGAAGAAAACAAAGACATTATCACTGGACGCACGTCAAGCTTTTGACAGAATAGAGTGGAAGTGCTCCCCAAATATGGACTTTGTGAAAGCTTTCTAAAATAGATATGACTACTATACACTGATCCCACAGCACAAGTTTTAACCAATAATAACATGTCAAAACCTTTTAATTTACAATAGTCATCTAGACAGGGGTGCCCTCTGTCACCACTGCTTTTTGTGCTGGCAATAGAACCTATTGTGATGGCTGTTAAGAGTGAATACAGGAATATCAGGTATTAAAATTGGAGGAAGAGATCGTCTCATTTCCTTGTTTGCGGACGTCATCATATTTTTCACAAGTAATTTGAAG